TTATTTTTCTATCATAAAATAAAATTATGAACAATAATGTAATTTCACACAAACTAAATTTTACCTTTTTCATACCTCACTCACATATTATCATAGCATCTCTAATTTCCAAAAATAAAAAAAATAAAAAAACTCACATTCTCTCCAACTTCTCTATTTTCTATAATTTTTTATTCTTTTTAAATTTTTTATATTTTCACACACATATGTGTATGCTTGTAACCTCAACCTCTTCACCCTCTTCAATTTAACCGTTAAATTATGACATTAAATTGCTTTCAAATATTCCAACAAAGAAACCGTCCAAAATTCCAGATTGTTGACGTCATTAAAGATGAACAAACTTGTTCGAATCATTCATATTAATCGTCACTCACTCATTGACACCATCAGTCACTTGCACCGCATGTAAACTCATTAGATTTAATGTATGTTGAAGAAAGAAATCAATGTAATTTCTATATTTTGTCTAAGTTAAAAGGTAGAAGATGAATTATTCACAAAGAAAACTTATCCCTCCTGATCTTCCATTTTTGTAGGATTGGAAGAGATAAGTTTACTTGACGATCAATCCACCTTCTTTCCCCAGCTTGGACAAACAAAATTTGGAAGTTGGACATACATTTCTTTATTTAATAGACGTTGAATCTAGTGAGTTATCCAATTCAAACGAATTAGTAAATTATCTAATCAAGTCTAATCATTGGGGAAACATGATGTCCAATGCAAGAATTACATTACGTGCGAGGAATTCAAGGATGAGCAAGAGCTTGAAAAGGGGACAGCGATAGCTCCAGAGCTTTCAAGTGCAATCGAACAATCAAGGTTTTTCATCATTGTTCTCACCTAACTATATATGCTTCCTGGTGCTTGGATTACTTACCAAGATTTTTCGATGCACGGAAGCCAAAGGTACAATTATTTAGAACTGTCCAAGTGCTTCATAAATTATGCTAGAGGCCTTCCGTTAGCTCTTCAAATTTTGGGACATTCTTTGTGTAGGAGAGACTGCTTCATAGAATTTTTATCCAAGTGAGATAGAGGTAGAGATGGATTCTCTTGAATATTTCAGTCTATCTGGCTGCTCAAAAGTGAAAAAAATATTTCAGAATTCTCTGGACAAATTAAAAAGTTGTCAACTCTTTTTCTATGTTGGACTTGAAGAGAGTTGAGGTTTCACCATAAAACTAATTGGCAATATGAGGAATATGTCAATCTCTTATAAGCCCATGCAAGGTCTCTCCTCCCATCAACGTGGGAATCACTTCCTCCCATCAATGTGGGAGTCATTCTCAACAGCCACAGCCAACGTGGAACAACCTACTCTAATACCACAAAGAAAGTTGAGACTTTACCATAAAACCAACTGGTAATATAAGGAGTAGTCCAACCTCTTATAAGCTCATGCAAGGTCCTTCCTCCCATCAATGTGGGACTCATTCTCAACAGGACTGCTATTGAGAAAATACCTTCGTCAATTGAACGTCTGTTGGTTGGCCTTGTTATACTTAATACATGCTACAAATACAATGCGGTTCAATAGGAACATAAATGTTCAAACTTGCAGCCTCATATATGCTTGAAGCAGCGTTGCTGACAAGTAGAAAGCCGGTGTTCCAAATGTTAAATCTGGTATTTATAGCCCACTTGCATCTCGGACTGTACACTCATTTCAAGCTCAACCGTCTTCTTCATTCCATGATCATTTTTTCACGTCCCACACAGCATTGAATTGCAGCAAAAGAAGAAAACCGGTCAATGGGTCGTGAAACTAACCTAGCTAGTACATAAGCTTCATTCCAAAAGGCAGCAAGCTGTACTGCAGAAAAGCGAGGTAGACAGAGAGTGAAGAAATACCACAAGGCATAGATGCACCAACAATCGTAGCAGGACTCAACGTTAGCTTGTAGGTTTACTTGACAGAATTTAGTTCTTCAGACTCCTCTAAGCTACTGATTATGTGTACTGAGGGTGGATTGACGAAAACCGTCACCGGATATGAAGCAATAATCGGATTAACGTACAAGAAAGTTATCGGGTTTCATATTTAAAAACGTCATGCAATGAATATAAAGAAACAACATGAAAATCAAAGGGGTTTATGATCATATGGAATTTCAAAGAGGGGGAAGAAATTCTAAACCGAGGAGTCAATTTTGAAGAAACCTACTAGAGTACAAGAAGCCAAAGAAGTGATGAACAAAACAACTACCAACAGAAAATACAGACTGGCAGCTCTCTAGAACCGCTCGAAAAGCACTTTTGGAAGAACAATCACATCCCGTCACATCCACTAACCACGAGCTAGAGCGAGGGAAGAGAATGACTGAAAACGAACCCAAATTGTGTATGTCAATAGTGTCGAATTTAGCACAGGGCTGATGTTTTTATATTTGGCACTGCGTGTTTGAATTCATACTAGAACGGCCAATTTCTCATAGGATATACAAATATTATTATTACTTTAGTCTAAAGAAAGGTTTTCAATTCCACTGTTCAAACCAACAATGTTTTGCATTGGATTTCATTCTATTTACAGTTCTGCCACTAATATGTTTGTTGACCAAAATGGCCACAATTTTATCCAGGAGGGTTTGGGACTTAAGATGGGCAAAATACCCATAGGTTTGGATAACCGCGGTTACCTGCCCATTTAAAGTTCACGGTTACAGTTATGGATACGTAACCGTTTAGACAAACAAACGGTTGTGGGTATAACCGTTTAACTGTGAAATTTAAATGGGCGGTTATAGGTGTTACTCGCGGTTATAATGAGTATCTATCGGTTACAGGTATTACCCGCGGTTATAATGGGTATCTATTTACCCATTTAATTTAATATATGTAAAATTTTCAATCTCTCCGCCAAACTTAAGGGGGTGTATTCAATTGAGGATTTGAGAAACTTTAATGGATTTATAAATTCATGGATTTTTATGGAGTTTAATTGATTTGTAGAGATTCCATATAAAAATTTGATTCAATTCCCTCGAAATCTCATAGAGAGATGTGAGATTTGTGGATGCTTAAAATACACTACGAAATCTCTCCAATTCCCTCTAATTCCTCAACTTTCTCAAATACTTTAAAATCAAATTCTAATTGAATACACCTAGAATGCTATAAACTTCTTTAAAATCCTAATTGAATACACCCAGATTTCTATGGATTTTAATAAACTATCTTAAAATTCTAATTGAATACACTTACAATTTCAGAGAATCACTTAAAATCCTGATTGAATACCCATAAATTCATTAAAAGAATTAAAATCCCTTAAAATTCCAATTAAATACAACCCTCTTAGAATCTCAAACATCCCGTACCCGCTCATCTCTCCCTCCATTTAATTTAATAAAGGATGAATACTTTTGCGTGAACACTCATGCAATTCAATATTTTTAAATTACAACATAAAGTTTGATCGATAACAAAATCACAGCAAGAAGATTGTGTACCCATGACATGACCATATTGTGCAAGTAGATCCCATTTTGATATCACTATACATATTTCCCCTTCAGTTGCTCCATAAAGTCACGTAAATTAAGGAACACTTACACCTAAGCACAAAGCCACATAATTAATTAACCTCTTCTGAAAGCATTAGTGTTCGAAAGTATTTAGTTTCAGAATATTTTGGAGCTTTGAATCATCTAGTATTTGAGATAATGGCTACTTTTTGTTTTTAGAAACTTTACTTTGTAATCATATGGATTATAATTAAAGACTTGCTTGGATGTAGTAGAAAAATATCGTTCGTAAACTATTATTTCAATTATTAGAATTGTATGAGGACTTAAATAATTAAAATAAGGAAATCCATGTTAAAATGTACTTATAATGGTGTTTAATTGTTAGAAAACGAAAATTATGACAAATTGTTTTTTTGTAATTTTCAAGCTATTAAAAAAAAACATGTAGACGGGTGAAAAAATGGATAAATGGGTAAATAAAGGATAAACGGGTTCAAAAACGGGTAAACGGGTAAATGGTTATGGTTAAATGGGTAAACAGTTATGGTTAAATGGGTACACGGTTATGGGTATGGTTAACCGTTTATAAACAGTTATAGGTATGGGTATAACCGTTAATGCAATTACCCACAGGTAAACGGTTATGCGCGTATGAACATAAACGGTTATGAATAAATAACTGCGGCCACCCCTAGCCATAACCGTTGCCCATCCCTATTTGGGACGGATTGGGAATCGGGTTAGACGCGCTCACCTTTCACCTCTCTTTATCTTTTCTCTCCTACGCATGCGCTCTCCTGTTATCTCTTATCCCTCCTCCCTCTTCTTCTCTACTGGAAAACCCACAATCTTTCATCTTCCTCTGCTCCTCCTTTCTCTCTGCTTCCCGTATCTCTCGATGTGAAGCCCACAAACCAAGTAGTGACGGTTGAAAGCCTCAAACATGCCTGGCGTGAAATGGTGGTACAGTGACGGTCGACAACCTCCTCCGTTGTCGATGAATTTGGCCGTCAGAAAGCGTCTTACGGTATGTTGAATTTCTCTAATTTCCCTTTATTCGAGTTTCCTCTATCCTTTTTGCATTTGATTGGGAGTTTATAAATTAGGGTTCTTGGGATGTGAGAGTCGATCTTCCTAACGCTAGCGGCGACGGTCGGAAACAATATCTGCAAAATTCTGCAGAAGAAGGGCACCGTCATTCTTCCTCTTTTCTCTTTCAAGCTTTCAAGCTCAAGGTAGGTACTTCCTAGGGATGGGCAACGGTTATGGCGGGCGGCTAACCATGGTTATTTACCCATAACAGTTTATGTTCATACCCGCATAACCGTTTACCTGTTAGGTAATTGCATACACGGTTATACCCATAACCATAACCTTTTATAAACGGTTATCCATACCCATAACCGTGTACCCATTTAACCATAACCATTTAGCCATTTAACCATAACCATGTACCCGTTTACTCGTTTTTGAACCCGTTTATCCTTTTTTTACTCAGTTACTCCTTTTTTCACCCGTCTACATGTTTTTTTTTAACAACTTCAAAATTACAAAAAAAAAAAAAAAAGTTTCGAAACTAAACACTTTTGAACACATTCAATGACAAACTATCATTGACTCGTTACAACCGCGGGTAATACCTATATAACCGTATAACCTAACAGTAAATGTTTTGGTGTATTAAAAGCCATATTAAAAAAAAACTCACGGACTGAATTAAAAGCCCAACTAACAGTAAATATTTTTTTCCAAACTTATCCCTGACATAACCTAACCAAGCCCAAGACCATTCACTGTCTTTGCCTTTTTCTGTCGCATATGGGGCTTTTGGTGTTGCCTCATTTTCCACACCCACCACTGTCAGTTAGTTTTTTTATTTTTTATTTTTGTTGTTTTGTCTATGTGTGTCTGTGTCTGTGTTTTCAAAGTTGCTGAGTAATTGTATGTTCTGTCAGGGGTAAATTTGGAAAAAACATTTACGCTATCAAGTCCTTTTTTTTTTTTTTGTTTTTTTAATTTCGAACACTTGCGATAATATTTTTTTTTTAATTTTTACATATATTAAGTTAAATGGTTAAATGAATACTCGTATAACCGTGAGTAATATCCATAACCAATGAATATCCGTTATAATCATGAATAATACCCATAGCCGTCCATTTCAATTTCACGGATAAACGGTTATACCCATAACCGTTTATTTGTCTAAACGGTTACCCATAACCATAACCGTAAATTTTAAATAGACGGATAACCACAGTTATCCAAATTCATAGTTATTTTGCCCATCCCCAGTACTTACTCATTTTTTTTGTTTGCCCAGTTTGTCCATTTTGATTTTGTGATTGCGTTCGAATGGGGTTGAGTTGATGGCCTCAAATGACTCCTCATCATCTTCGGCATCTTCTAGAACTATTGCATGGGAAAGTCTGCTTCAGATGGAGTTCTCGTTTAAATTGGGTTTTATTAAGTTTTTCATGTTTTTGTAGAATTCTTAGTTTCAATATTTTTCTTTTGCTGTGATTCCATTTTATCTGAATCATCATTTAATTTATGAGATTTTTAATGTAATTTTATATGAATTTTAGTAATTTTTCTGAGTTTTGTATAAATCGTCGATTAATTTCTGGATGGTTATTAATTTTATGTTTTTTATTGAATTTGTTTTCAGAAAACTACAAGTAAAACATCTTTAATTAGTCGTCAGTTTTCATGTTTTGAACATCGTTTATGCAAGCTATTATATCTCAATGTTCGAATTTTTGAACTTTGTCTTTATTTTGTAGGGATTTCTGTATAGAGAAGAGAATTGTTTTGTTTACGTCTCACTAAAACTGGCAAGTAATAGAGGCAGTCATACTCTCATGCAGCTATGCTTAGGTATATTACGATATCAGTACATTAACAAATCTCAGTGGCTCAGATTTCTAACATTGGCATTTGTATTAATGAATTTCCATTTTCTCTCCCAAAACAATTTGTTAATTGAAAATTGTTTTCTTTCTGCAGAAGGTGGTACTGAAATTGGATTTACACGAGGACAAAGAAAAGCAAGAGGCCTTGAAAGCAGTCTCCAGCCTTAGAGGTATCAACTATTTTTTAAGCATGTCGGTTTAATTTGGCTCCGTGAAAAACTTGGAAAATAATAAAAGTGTAAAAAAAATTCTGAATTATTTCATCCATCACCACCTACTCAGTTCTTTGTATTGGTTGAGAAGTTCTCTTAGAAGAGAAAGGATTGGAGCTTGGCTTTTAACTTTTTAGCCATGGTTTCAGGCACATTCATCAGAATCGGACTGAATGGGAATGGAAATTTGTCCATTTTTATGTTTTTATAGAAGAAGAAGAAGCTCAGAAGTCTGATACGTAAAGCAACTCCATCTGAAAGCGGAAGAATCCAAAGGTAAACCCCTTCGAACTCTTCAATTATGGTGTTCTTTAGTCGATTGAAAGACTAGAACTTGAAAAACTAACACATGCATTTAATTTTTTTGTGAAGGAACTGTGACCCAGTGGCTGGATAGAAGAAAAGGACAACGCATGCTCTCTCTCTCACAGTAGCTCCATGTTCCTCTCCCCCCCAAACCTAATGGCTTTGGCCCAATTTGGAACCTGCTTGGATCGGGACCCCTTGGAGATTTGGAGCTCCAGATGAGAAAATTTTCCCCAAATTGTATTCAATTCATGTTGCTTCATTTCGTTTTCCATTTTTAATTTGGAATTGGTTGATATTTTAGGCGGGTATCGCATGTATAACCAGAACAATATTTGTGTTGGATTGGGTTCAAATTGTCCAACTTTATTAGCTATTTGGTTGCCTGTGTATTTGTAATCTGAATAATATGAATTAGGGTTTTTCTGTTAGTGTCCGTTTACTGAAGAAAGGATGCTTCTTTTTGTTATCATGCATATTTAAGCTGTAAACATATGAAAAGCCGCTTAATTGAAATGAGATTTCCAGTTTTTGAGCTCAATTTCAGGCTTGAGCTATGAATTTGTTTATATGTAGCCAAGCTGAAGCTATCTATATGTCGTAGTTTGAAGTATTTGTGTTGGTAACTATGTGTTTTCGTTGCGCAATCTGAGTTGCCTCAATATCGTTTGTATGTAATTTGGTGTAGACAAGTGGTTTTTGATGTTTTGGTGGGTACTGGAAAAAAAATATGAAATTGATTTGCGCTCAATGCATAATTAATCTTAAAATACATTCTATTAAATTGGTTTGATGATATATAAGTGGTAGCAAATTAGCAATGTCAACTCCCACAAGGAAGAGGCTGATGAGAGACTTCAAGAGGCTGCAACAAGACCCGCCTGTAAGGATTAGCGGGGCGCCTCAGGATGACAATGTAATGCTGTCGACAAGGTTTGTTATTTTTGAGGCTTTTCTTCTGCAAACGTGAACTCTTTACATGGATACCGAATTTTATGTGATCTTTAATAGTTATATATCAAACACCTTTGCACTAAACTCTGTATTACAACTATTATAATTAGAACTTGGATGAAATGGGCTCCATCCAGCAAAGCTACTGCCCTATTAAAAAATTTAAAAAACTCAAAGAAATTTGATAATTTCTCTTAGTTTAGGCCATTTATACAAGTCAGAATGAGAAACACAGATGTTTTCTATATGTTACGCTATATGTTTGGCTGTGAATCGTATGGGGTAAACCTCTTGGTGTCATTCTAAATAAACTAGAAGTATGTCTCATGCAAAATTTACGTTGATGTTTATTAATGGAAATAAGTTTTGAAGTGATTACCTTTCTTTATACAAGTTCTCTTCACAAAGAAACCTATATTATGGTTTCGCTTTTACTTGCTTTCGCACTAGGGAGGCTTCTGGGCATGTAATTGGCGTGTCATTACTCACTAATTTTTTTTATTATCCTTATCTTCTATATAATATCACCATTCTCACCTGAAGGTTGCCTCTTCCAAGTCGGTATGTGATGATCTCCAATCCTTTCTATGTGATTTCACCAATCTGAATCTCGGATGGTTTCTCAGGGAGGGCAGATTTGTGAGTTTTTGGTTTTTAGGGTTTTATGTCTTGGAAATTTTCTTTATTTTTTGGGTATAAATCTTAGGATTTTGGGGTTTTTACAATGGTGGGTTTATGGAAATTCATATTCTTGCATTCGCAAATCCATGTAAAACCCTTCAATTTTGTTTTGTTTTAGCTTTTGAGGTATGATTTTATAGAAATTAACGGTTGGAAATAACTTTAGTAATCTTGATTTTGGTTTGGTTCAGCTAGGGTTTAGATGAGTCCACCTGCTATGGTGAAGATGGAAGATGCTAAATTTTGCTTGATTTTGGTTTGGTTCAGCTAGGGTTTAGATGAGTCCACCTGCTATGGTGAAGATGGAAGATGCTAAATTTTGCTCGATTTTACTTATTTTTTATTGTGAATTTAATACATATGTGGTTGCCCTGTTTGGCTTTGGGGTTTTGATTTGGTGTTTGTTGGATTTGGGAATTACCATTCATAGATGGCATTCCAGCAAGATGCATAACTCATGCACACAATTTTTTTTTTCTTATTCCTTTTCTGCCATCTCTTATTTAGATTTGTGTAATTGGTTGGCTTAAAGACGGTTTACAAGGCAGGGCTCTGTATTCATCTTCAGATTGGTCCATATATTTGTTCAGAATGGAATTTTGGGTAATGATCATTTTCCTCAGCATTTTTTTGTTTCATCAAAGATTTAGTCTGACAATTGCTCGGGTGACAATGTCCATTGGTGAGATTGGTTGGATTAGCCCACTTTTCTGTTGGTATATATTTACTTATGCGGCTTTCTGTATATATTAGACTTCTCATGCTGTAATTTAACAGATTTAATAGTTACTTCATTCAATGAATAGCTCTTCAGTATCCATTTTGAAATCAACATCGTTTACTTTCATATTGATTCACCATCACCTAACAAGGTTTCTTTGGACCCAAAACAAATCATAATTAACTATTCGCTAATCTATTCACTAATCTACTGCTTTATTGTCATTGACTCTTTTGATTGGGAAGCAACATACTGTTTTCAATCAATTAGTTTGATAGGTGCTTAACAATTTCCTAGGGTGGGAAGCACTTGCTTTTTTGTGTGTAGAAGATTAATACCATGCAACCATGATAGCATATATGTTCGGTTAGTTTGATTGAAACCAACAATTGGTCAAATTACAAAGAGAATGAAACATTCTCGTGTTCCCGTCTTTTTATCTCCTTTTGCATTTGGATTTTCCCTGTTTCTTTTTCTATTGATCTGGGGTGAAGTTGAATTTTGGTTGTGTCAGCAACTTGAGATTATTGTAAAGCAGTACATGTAGTGTTGATGTCTTTTACTACACACATATTTGTTTCGTTAGAATCAAACTTGCAATGTACAAATTTATGCCAAGGAAAAAGCAGTGCCTTTGGAGCCTGATATTCCTTGTTAGAGTTTCTGTTACAAAATTAGGGAGCTATCTTGTCCATTTATGCTTCTATTTAGTAAGATTCGGGTGATAAGACTTCTAAGATGTTTTCTGAGTTGTTTTGGAGCTGCATTCATTTCTTGGAAGACCACATTAAGAAGCATTCTGTCAATTGATGCCCTGTGGAAAATTTTCGATATTTAATCCTTCTTTTTTTTTAGTTTCGTATTAGCACATGACTTTGCTTGCTTGTTATTCGATTTGCCGTCAAATTTGAGTATCTTTACGGGGAAATGATTTATAGCTGTTGCAGATTATAGCAGCACTTCATTTTGATTTGTAAACAAACTATATACTTTATCTTTGTCTTGGGTTACATTATAACGTTTAACAATTGAATTTGTAAGACAATTTAGCAATTTTTTCAGAAACTTACTATTCCTGCTAGATGCTCAAGTATTATGCCTTCTACTTTTCTACTTTCCTTTTTCTTTATTCTTCCTCTATATAGTAGGCTCATTACTAGAAACTACGATATTTATGACACAATACGATCTACAAATGAATGTTGCTTATGACATGCATATCCATATATAGCAAGCAAGTTTGACTTCATTGGTTCTTAAGTTCTACGTCTTTTTAGTTGTTTTGTGGAAACAATTCATGCATGTTGCGACTAATACATTCAACGTCTGCAGCAAAGTGCAGGCACATCAATGCCATCAGATTTGGGCTGAATATTTACATCTCTGCCACTGACCACAATTTGGGTTTTTTAGGGCTGTTGGTTTTGGGCCCGAAGTGGGCTTCGGTGGTGACCATTGAATGGGTTAAAGCTCTAAACATCAAATGCCTATTTTACCCTATCTACATTCTAAATCCAACCGACCGGATTGGAAATTTCATGGGTATTTTGGTCATTCTCCGTTTGGGAGAGCGATTGAGGGAGCAGGTGAGGGATGTGCCAGTGTTGCGGAGGGTGAGGGAGGAAATTGAGGGAAGTCATCACTGACCCGATTGAGTGAGGGATTTTGTGAGGATTCCACTGACCCGATTGACTGAGGATGGTCTGACATTCGGTAAGGCAAAAACAGAAGGAGAGAGGCGGGTTGCAGAGGCAGAGAGAAAGAGGGAGGGGTGGGGGCACTGAACAGGAGCAAGTAAGGCTCTTCTGAACAGGAGCAAGCAAGGTGTTTTGATGCCTTACTTTGGCGGTGAAAGGAAGGGTCACATTTAGAGAGAGAGGTTTCCTTTCGCGCACATTACCGTTTCGATCGCTTCGACAGCAAGCCGCCGCCACCACCATCTAGAACAAAAAATAAACACCCGCCACTGCTCTTCAGCCATCGTCTCCGGCGATCCATTCAAATCTCCGATCGAAACATGTATTTACTTTCGATTCCATTGATTTCAGATCGTTCAAAATTTCATCATAATTCGCAATTAATCTCCCAAATTTGTTGGATTTAGGGCTTTGTATCTGAATTATTGCTGAAATTGTGTGATGGGTTGAATGCAAAGAGAAACTTAGGGAAAGATGAGCGACGTATTCGAAGGGTACGAGCGCCACTACAGTGAGCTCTCCGCCAACCTCACCAAAAAGTGTACAGTAGCTGGTGCTCTCAATAGAGGCTAGTTTTTTTTTCTCACTTTCCTTATTTATTTATTTTTTATTTTTGTGAATTTAATATATACATGTAGTTGCGCTGTATTTGGATGATTTATGTTGTATTCAGTTGTACTGGTGTCCTCTTCAACGTTTACTTTTGTCTCGAAATCTTCCGGTCTAGCTCTCCATACAAACCCCCTAATCTTTGGTTCTTTGGTTCTTTGATTTTATAATTTTTTGTATTTTAGTTGCGTTTAATTTGTTGAGATCTTTTGAATTCGGTTGCTTTAGTAATTAGGGATTTGGTTCCTTGAGTGTCCTTTGGAGTAGCAGATTGAATCGATTTCTGGAGCTTTATATTTTTCCCACACACTGTCACTGTGCTTATTTGTGTGTCGGCGAGCTCAGTTTTGGTGATGGTTGGTGCCCAACAGTGTTGCAAGAAAAAAATGAGTGGAAAAAGATGGAATTGGATTCTGTGTTTGTCTAATTTTTGAAGCAGTGCTGAAATCCAGAGGTTTATTTGACTGTATATATTTGATTCGAGTACGGCTTTTGCCATGGTTCTGTATTCAGTGTGTATCCCAGCTGGAAAAAAAAAAAAAAAAAGAGATGTGAGATTCGTGAAACCGTTTTTATTTGGGTAAAATTAGTTTTCATTTTTTTGTGGTGTCTGTGGAGATTGGTTTTCTGTCTTAATTTTTTATTGAGATGTTTTTCGCAATTTGTAGTTTCAGATTCGTTCATGTTTCATGCTTTTGTGTAACTGAACTAGGGTTTATTAAACTCATTCACTTCCTTTTATGCCCCTGCTTTGGTACGATACAAATGATGATGGCTTGTTTGTTTGATTGTAAATTTCAGAAGAGCAACTTTTTATGGGGTCAGGGCAGCTGTTAATGTTTCTAAGATTCTGTGAATATTTGGTTTATGGAATATGATTAATTTTCTTCTTCTTCCACGCTTGCTTTCTATGATGGACAATATGCCCCTTTTTCCTTAGATAAACAGCCTTTTCACTCCCCAAATTCTAATTATTGAAAAAATGAGTTCGGCAACAAAGATTACTAAACTGCACGTCTATTATAGAGAGAGATAGATGTAGGGAGAAGCGGGAATTGGGGAGTGAGACAGTGAGGGAGGGGTGGGGTTGCTTTCCAAAGATTTGTTTGGAATTGTTTCTGTTTTTTTTTGGTGAATTTTCTCCAGTTCTTTCTATTTGTTTGGAATTGTTTCTTTCTTACTGAAATTATTTTGGTTCCTGCCACTAAACTCTGATTTCTGCTATTAATTGATGCTGAAATGTGAGTTTTGCTATAAATTTTTTACCTTTCATATTTATGCTGCTTTTGGATTCCATTCGAATTAAATAATGTAGTTAATCTTGATATGAATTCTCTTTGCAACAATAATTGGGGATTTTAGTTTAAATTATTACTAATTTGTTCTTGATCTGGCATTGAATCTTTCTTAATTTGGACTGCAGGTGGTTCTGACATGGAGGAGAAGCTGCAAGAGTTTATGATCTTGCTGCACTTGAGTACGAATGTTCTTCAACTCGTATAAACTTTCCGGTAGGGTTCAAACCGTTAAGAGTTTTATGATTTTGTAAAAGCAGTTTAGTAGCAGAAGCTTGGTCTTTTTGCAGTTGCGTTATTACACTATACGACTTGAGTTAGTATGGGTTTCTTGCTAACTGAACTGATGATTTAGGAATTCTAAAAGTAGTTGCATTTTACAATATACAACTTAAGTTAGTATCAGTTTCTTAATGAGTGGCATGTGAATGTCGAATTTTTTTCTTAATTTAATTTCGGAAAGAAATGCGTTTAAAAGTGATGCTATGTGATGAAGTTAGCATTCTGTTTTTTATTATATACTGGTGGTGGACATTTTTAGCATATTTGTTGAGAAAGATTTATCATTTTCTATAAAATAAAGCTTCATTCTCACCATGTTGTTGATGTTTTTTGTGATTTGAGTTTATACTGCTTCTAAATGCTGTTTTGATTTAGGAATTTGAATAATTGTTTTAATTTAGGTTAATGCAGGATTTGAAATATGTGATGATCATTTTCATATTTCTATAAATTTTGAGAGAAAAAGCATGTGAAAAAGCACGTTAATCTTTTGGTATAATTCACATTAGTCTAATTATGGCTAGGATAAAAAAGCATGTGATAAATTGAAGACGGGGATAGAGAAAAGGCTTTTGGGAAAGTGCAAAATGGGATGAAGATAGTTTGTGGGGGGAGGAGGGGAAGGAGGAAAGAAGGGGAAAAAAACAGGGGAACAAGCCCATTCAACTAGCTATCCAGCCAGTTGATATAGTGTCTTGCAAGTTGACATTGTTTTTATGGAGTAAGTTTGAAATCAAACCTATGTGTGAAATTAAGGTCATTTACTATTAGATCACCTCTAAAAAAATACGTCAGCACCCAACCAATTTAATCAACTTGATGAACATTAATAGATCCTAATAAATAGTAATAGATCAAATGCATCTCTGTTCCTGACAAAAAATAGTCTAGTCAATTTTATTAAAATATTATTATTTTTTATTATAAAATAATAATTTTATTGAAAAAAAACGAAGGTAAGTCTGGAACATCCCTCCGCATCTCCCTCTCCCTCGGGAGGTTCAGATAGCTGCATTTCTAGTTCTGTCAAAATTCTCCAAAAGCTATATTTTAACATAAAATTTCTCAAAAAATTCCTAGTTCTTAGAAGAAGATTGTCCATTTTTTTTCAAAAATCCACAAGATTCTTCCAAAAACTCACCTTTTTCACGTTTACACCATTTTTTTCCTTCCTAAAAGCAGAAAGTCTCCACCTTTAGCGAGAGAGAGAGAGAGAGAGAGAGAGAGAGAGAGAGAGAGAGATGGGGGGATGTGTTGCTTCCAAGCTGGAAGGAGGAGTTGTGACAATTTGTAGAGAGAGAAAGCGGCAGCTGAAGCTGGCGATGGAGAAAAGATACGCCCTTGCGGAGGCGCACTGCAAGTACGGCCATGCTTTGCTTGCGGTGGCTGCTGCCGTGGACTTCTTTGTTGCGGGCTACTCTTCCCCTCCTAAACCTTACCTCCCTCTGCATCTCTCTCTCTCCCCCTTGTGCGTAGCGGGACCAAGGTCACCCACGAGGTGTTCTGAGTCCTCCGGCAGGAGGTTGAAGGTTGATGGCCCGACTGACGTCAAATGATTAGGCATGTGGGTCTGTCGATTTTGGGCCGGTCCCTTGCCTGGCTTGAGCTAGGTGCCAGCCTATTAGGCTGGGGTGGAGTGATTTGGCTGGGGGCCAGCCTGTTTTGGGTGCTGGGTGCCGGGCAATCCACCCCAGTGGAACTGCTCCAACGGTGACAATTTCATACTACCTCTTTATTTCAACTAACCACTATAAAAAATAATAACTTTGCTAAGAAGACTAAACTTAATATTTGAAAACAACCACTAGTTTAAAACGAAGACAATAAAACAGTGATTCAAAACCATAACCATAAATATATTGGCTCTTGATGTTAACTTAATAGAATGTAAACTCAAATTGAACTGCTTATTTTACTGTATCAATTCACCTATCTCTTGATTTTTCAATTATTTGGAGATCACTGTTAATTTGTGATTTTATCTCGAAGCTACGTATTTGTTCATAGCATAATAAGTTTTGCTTCAATTCAGCTGTTGCTGAAACTATCACAATATCTTTGGCTTCCCAATCTTACATCCACATATATATTAATATAACTGCACTTTTTGTTAACGCCACGCACTACTTTACAATTTTATTTAAATCCTAAAAGATAAACATCTCTTGTATGCGTGGCCTTTCGAGAAAAACAAAGTCCAACGAGCTTGTATTACAATATAACGATATTACAGAATTTTCTGCAAACTAAATATAAATAATATGTAACAAGAGACTTATAATTTTCCTACCAAATAGAAGAACAAAAACAGAAGGGTGGTGCTATCTACACTATTTTGTACCTTCTACACACATCCTATTAATTTCTGTCATTTGATTTTCTTCAATTTGTTCGATCTGACGGTCGAAAATTGAGAAAGGTGTGTAGATAGCACCACCCAAACAGAAATATTATGATACAGTCAATTTAAAATTGTCTTATTTACATACTACGACTTTGCATCTCTTTTGGTTGAATCTCTGGCACAAATGAGAGACACATTATCTAACATGCATACATATTTAGGCTTCACTGCGGGATCTAACTTGATTGTATTTAAACAAACTGCGGGATCTAACTTGATTGTATTTAAACAAACATGTTTTATTCAAGTGCATATAATACATGGAGGAAGATTATCTCCATTCCTAATCTTTGTCCCCTTCTCTCCCCTCCTACTTGAATGACATTGGCTAAGATGGCAAAACACAAGAGGCAGACAGAATTTAAGAACAGAAAAAGCAGAAGAAAGAAAGAGATTAACTGAACAATTAGTGATTGAGTTAATTTCTATAACATCGATAGTCTTGCATTATTAATTTTCTTACGCTTTCCAATCTGCATGGCTAAGAAATTAAAATTTTATAGCTCAAAAGAGGAAAAAAAAATAATACTCAAATATTATGTAGGTTATGCTGGGATTGAGATGGTGACTTGCTAACATGGATTCTGAGAAAAGCTTTCAAGTACAGCTCTGAGGCATTGAATGGTTAAAAAATAACATAAAACAATTATTTGTCTTCCTTCTGCCTTTTGGGGGTATGTTCTTCAAAAGTATGACTTTGACTTGAAGCTGCCTCTTCACAATAGTCATGTGTTCGTTTCAAGATTTTCAGTGTTCGGTTGAGTTCTTCCAAATCTTTCTTGTACACCAAACGAGCCCCACACTTCTTCACCATATTCAAGCCTCCTTTGGGTTCAGTCATACCAGGTTCGCAATATAAAGTTTCAAATAGAAACTGTTCTTGACGACATTCTTCGAGAGGTAAATAGAATACCCAAAGGTGTTCCGACACAAGAGGCCTTATATCAGGAAACCAATGCGTACATCTAATCCAAGGTGAATGCCGCATCCTGGATTGATAATAGAGAAGGCCGGCTGGATTTCCCAAGGTTTCCTTATCTTGTGCAAAAACAACACAAAAAGCAATCCCCATCCAGCTGCTACATGATTGAGTAGGTAGCTCCACATTTAGCGAATGTCCCACAGTTTGATTGTTGAACCACTTCGGAATCTCCCTTCCGGGGCATACAATATAATTATTGTACCAACCAGGAAATAGTCCCTGCCAAAGAACCATTATATACATATATATATATGTGTGTGTGTGTGTGTATATATATATATATATATAGAGAGAGAGAGAGAGAGAGAGAGAGAGAGAGAGAGAGTGTGTGTGTGTGTACCTCAGTGGCGTATTTCAGGATTCTTGAATATATTGTATTAATCCAATCTTCATCTGCCACCAATGTAATGCAATTCACAGAACTGAAATTAAAATCATACAAATTGGCGAATCTGCTGCCCAACTTGGATGGATCCGACAACCGTTTCAATGAAGTACAATGATTTACATTTACGAGTAATTTGCTATTTGACGGAAGATCTGGCAGTTGCTCAAGTCTTTCGCACGCCTCCAAGCAAAGAGACTCAAGTCGAGAAAGGCATTTGATGCTTGCTGGAAGGGTAACAAAATTGTTTCCACTAAGATTTAACGTTTGTAAATAGGACAAGCAACCAATATCATCAGGGATATCACCTTCACCAAGATCACAATAGCGTAGTTGTAAGTCCTCCAAACAACGCAAATGATTTAAAGAAGACAACACCAAACCCCAACAAGGCTCATCGCTCTTTCTAATTCCAAGTAAGCGGAGAAGGCCCCAATCATCCCTTGGTTTAGCAATTGATCCACCAAACCAATGAGATTTGAGATTTTTCATATAAAAAAAGGGCTCTCTTATACCGCTTTTCCCCGGGGTTTTTCGATTTTCAAACTTCGGCCAACTAACAGCCTTTTAAGAGACTTCAAATTACAAATCTCACTAGGAATATCCGACAGATTTCTGCATTTAATGATACCTAGTACAGTAAGTCCAACCAGATGTCCAATCGATGAAGGTAATTTCTCAATCCCAGTCCCACCTAATAAAAGCTTGGACAAACTTTTCATCTGGTTCGAAAATTCTGGAATCTTTTTCACTTTGGAGCATTCGGTAAGATCTAAATATTCAAGAGAATCCATTTCTACCTTATTTGGGAGGTTCTTAATACTTTTACAGCCACGAAGATTCAAAACTTTAAGTTTTTTGAGAACTGCAATAGATGAGTGAATCTCAACTAACTTCGTACAATCCTCGAAAACCAACTCCTCAAGATTTTGAAGTCCAGTGAAATCTGGTGTACCGATCAATTTATTTGACTTAATCAGATCCATATATTTCAACTTGGGGAAGTTCTGCACAATACAAGAAATAATATATAAGCTTCCAAAAACTTTACTGTTTTTTTTTTTAACAAACTATATTATCTATACTAAGGTGAAGGGGATGGGCTTAACCTCACAATAAGCTACAAATAATGTGGTTCAAATTCACATTTAATGAGCATTGAACCTAAGATTTCTCACTTAAAAAAAAATTAAGCTTTCATCTCTAATTTTTATGTTGCTTTTATTGAAACATTAACATTTTTTTTTATCAAAGTCCTTTGACTTTGTCCACATCATTATTTTAGAATTTTAAAATTTTAAAATTTACATGTCAACGCTTTGTTTATTTTTTTCATTTTTTGGTTAAAGTATTTGCTTAATTTTTTTTTTTTTTGTAATTAATATTAATTGCTTTGTCCGGATTTTTAGTTGATAATTGAAAATTAAATCTCATCCCTTCCTACATTTAAAGTAAATAAACAGTCATTTAAACCCCTCCATTCTTTTCCATCCAACTGCACCTCAAACTCAATCCCTTATGCTTCTTCATCAACCAGACGCCAAACGTAACCCCCTCTCTCTTTTTTCTTCTTTTTATTGTTTCTTTCTTTTATTAATCTTGATTGTTCAATGTATGGTTCGCTACACTTTTATATTTTATGGGTACAAATTTATTCTGCGTATTATTTCGTTGAAATATATCTATTGGTACAATATGTTTTGTGAGCACAATTTCGTTATACATATTGATAAATGGGCACAATGTTTTTTCCTTTTTTCTTTTTTTTTTTTTGAGAAAATTAGGTATAATGGTTTGGTGGTTGAATTTTTATGTACCCATATGCATGCTTACAAAACAATGTGGTACATTCTTTTCCTTGAGTTTTTACATACCCATGAGTTTTTTCTCTTGTATTTATTTTTATTTGGGTACAATGTTAACTATAAGTTTCTTGTAAATTCAATATATGTACCCATTGGTATTTATGTGTTTTGGGTACGCACAATTTTTTTATGTTCATTGGTACTTTTTTTTTTTTTTAAATCAAGTTCATGGTTACATTGCTTTTGTAGTACATTATTTCTCTTAACAGATAAAATTTTCAGAAATTTGTGCACGATTTGATGATGATGATATATATATATATATATATATATAATGGGGTATTATTTCCCTTAACACTACTCCAAAAATGTTGGGATTTTTACAATTTCATAATTTTTTTCAGATTTGATGATGGACTGAATTTCATAATTATTAGAATTTCGAATTACATTAATTCTTGGATTTAAATCCCTTGAATGTTGTTAATTAGAGCAATTTTAAAATGAAAAATAAAACCAGGCAGGGTGTTTTAAAATGTTGGACTTTAATCAACAATTTAAATTTAAAAATAAAAAAATGACATGGAAGTATAATAAATACTAAAATGTTGAGGTGTACAAACTCAAAGAATCTTATCAAATATTGAAAAACAATAATGATTCAATCTAACAATTGAGTTGACTAGAGACTGCAATCAAAATGACCCTTAAAAATATGTAAAGTAGCATTCAGTCAATATACTCTTACCGCCACTTAGTACTACGATCTAATATTATTTATCTTTATTGGTAAGTGAGAGGTCTTAGGTTCGATTCTCGCCAAAGACGAACTTGAATCACATTATTGCTAGCTCATTGTGAGGCTAAGCCCACCCCTGTCCATAGTGTAGATGATATCGATTGTTAAAAAAAAAAATACACACACACACACACACACACTCTTACCTCTTTTCCATCCCATAAACGAACAAGTTTGCTATGAGGCATTCTTAGTTCAGTAAGGAAACGTGGGTGAAAGTTTGGCGGAAGAGACTTGGAAGGATACCAACTCCAAATCATAATTCTCAAGGAACATGGAAGAAATTTGGGACTCGAAGAAATGATCAAATTGTCGAATTCTAAAAACCTCAGTCCATGCATAGTAGAGAAGGCTTCACAATTCCAATGCACTACCTCTTCTATTTCGGGTAACTGTAAGACTATACCTTCAATAGCTCTCGTTCCCTAATAACCAAGAATGTAGGAAACGTAAATTTAACATTCTAATATATTGCGTTAAAAGAAATCATATCTTCTTTTGAACTTGGAATTTACATAACTTCTTACCGTATTTGTCGAGAGTATATGGAAAATGTCATCGGGAAGCCACAATCTACTGCGTAGACCAGGCTCTTTAGATTCTTGAACAACAATAGTCCACGCCATTTCTTGTATCAAATCATGCATACCTATGCAGTACTGGTCTGAATTATCATATTGGAAGCATTCTTCAATAGTTAACAAAGATTTCTCAATTAGTAAATCTATCACAAGACTACTAGAAATTTCAAATGAATTGTCTAGTATTCGAATAAGTTGCTGCATGCACTTCCCTTTATGGAAACATGCAACATCGAGCAAAACTCTCTTCTCCATGTCCTCTAGTCCGTCATAACTGATTTTGAGTGAATTGAAAATTGTTGGATTGGGGATTCTATGAATATTATCCAACATACTCTTCCATGCATCCTGACCTCTCGTATACAAAAAAGACCCTAGTGTTTTAAGAACTAGTGGAAGGCCTCTGGCATATTTTAGGAAATGCTCAGAGAGTTCCAAAAAATCTTCCTCGGGTTGTTCTTTCATAAAGGCATTCAGACAAAAAAGCTCAAGTGCTTCGCAGTAATTCAACCCCTGCATCTTATATGATGTTGCTATACCACATTGGACTAGCAAACCTTCATTTCTAGTCGTAATGACAATTCTACTTCCCATACCAAACCAACTTTGATTTCCAGCCAGTACTTCTAGTTGTTTTAAATCATCCACATCATCAAGTATCAGAAGAACCTTTTTGTTGCATAAGCACTTCTTAGTGAAAATGCTTCCGCAATCTTCATCCCAAATTTCTTCAATCTTTCCCTTCAACATTGGAAAAAGAAGTCTTTTTTGAAGACTAATTAGGGTACGGTTTATTTTAGAAACCTCTCTAACGTTGCCAAGAAAGCAATGAACTTCAAAATGATGGAAGATTTTATCATAAACTAGCTTAGCAAGGGTTGTCTTACCTATGCCACCCATCCCCGTTATCCCTATAAAGCGAACATCATTGGCATCATGAGCTAATAGCAGACTTAATTGCTCAAGCCTAGAAGTAACCCCAACAAATTTCTGTGAGGAGTCTGACAACGTGAATGTCGCTTGCACTTTCCTCCACACGCTTTGGACAATTTTTTCAATAAGCTCCCTTTCACACCTACAAGGTATAAAGTAACCAATTAAAAAAAAAACATAAATGAAGCATTCAAGCTTGACTCTACTAAGACATAGGAAAGTAAAGTTGTTCATGCATGCTTACTTAGATTCCTTCGAATGCCATCCAGAAATTTTGGATACTTTTTTTAGATCTTCTCTCCATTGGGTCACCTTCTTTTTCTCTTCGGTACTAGTGAACTTTTCTTCATGCTCAGCAAAGGCTTTGGCAAAAGACCCCCTCTGATTCCCAACGTCAGATGGATCTGTCTCATAAAAGACCGGCAGAACTGAGTTCCTGGCTTCCATGCACTGAAGAATGGTTGTCAGTTCATCCAAGCACCATTTGGAAGAAGCATAGTTTGGTGAAAGAACAACGATTGCAATATGCGATTCTTTGATCGCACTCGGGAGCTCAACAGGAATACTGGTTCCCGCTTCTAGCTCTCTATCGTCAAAGAAAGTAGTAATTCCTTGGCACTCCCACAATTCATGGTATAAATGGGATACAAAACCCTTACGGGTGTCTACACCCCTAAAACTCAAAAACACATCATACTTCCATCGAGGAGCTGATTCATTCGAAAGAAAAGATGCAGTGGCTCTTTGGGTGCTCAATGCCATTGGAAAGTAATGAAAAGTTAATGAAAACCACGATGAAAATACTCGCACAAAAGTAGAAGCAGACCAAAAGAGAGGTTTTGTTGAAAGGAAATAAAGGGGGAGAGAGAGTGAAAGTTGTAGGAAGCCGGTCAAGTGGGACAATACGAATCGATTAATCCAACAAAAAAATCATGACTTAAGTGGCAAGAAAATGATAGAAATGGATTTAAAAAAAAAAAAAAAAAAAAAAAAAACCAGCGTGAACAACTAGCTTTCTACTAAATGACAGAAATATACATTGATTTACTCATTCCTTATTCTTCTTCTTATTTTTTTTGAACGTCAATTATCGGGACGGTTTCCGACTACTTGCTTGGTAAGACTCTAGCGAATTCTGACAAGTGGGATTGAATTAATTTAAAGTGAAAACGACATATGCAATAATGGAGAGAAACTGGGCATCGTCAAGGTTATCTTTCAAATGATAATTAACACCGAATGATTAACCAAACTTTGAAGAGTGAAGATCATTTCCTCCACAAGAAACCCTAAGCTCTTGAATTCTCATTCATCTTCCAAGTCTTAGTTTATACATACGAGACACCAGTATGACACAGTCTAACCTGTTTATGCCTTTGTTTGGTTACAGTTGCAGATATTTGTTATAATTCTATGCTTGTGTGAAATTTTTTCCCAACTTCATCACTTTATCTATAGATTCTAAAACAAGTAAAACAACAATAAAATCAAATGTATAGACTGTAGAGTACAAGCGCCAAAACGAACAAGATTTTACCAAAAATTCAGGCTTGGTGGCTTGCCGCTTCTCATAAGTAAGTCATCTAGTGTTTGTGTCACTCTCAACTCGAGTTTGTTTAGTCTACTTCTGTCTTTCGGTAGTACGAGCTGGACTTGTGTATATTGTGCTTTTCTGCCCTTTTTGGGTTTAAATCTTTCAAGGAAATTTGAGTTGGAAAAGAAAGAGTAAACTATCGATTTTGTCTATGGATTAGAACTCGAGCGAAAATTAAGTTTTTAGACATACTTTTTTTCTTCCATCTCGTACAACAATCTAGTAATACTCATCTTCTTATAAATGAGGGATTTCAAGTTTTTTACAACATTTTGAATCAAAATTAGTACTGCTCTTTCTGCAGATATGCAGAGCTGTGAATAGGGATGGCAATTTAACCCGTCAAATCTGATCCTCGCAAGTAACCGATCCGAATGGTTCAGTTTCGGGTATAAAATTTCGGATATTTTACGGTTATGGGTAACCGTCGGATAAATTTTTCGGTTTCGGGTTCGGTTATGGTTATTGGGGTATCCACCCCAAACCTATACCCGAAACTGAACCATTTCATCTATGAATATAAATATTTATTATATGAAAAGGGATTGTTAATAATCATGCATCATTAAATATGAAATTAATTATTTACTTTTATATCTTTAATAATAGGAATTATATGCTTATAATTTTTAAGAGTGTAAATGTTTTCTTAGTAATATAAATTTTTAATATTACTTATTAGATGCATTGTATCAATTGTATTAATAATAGCAATTTATTTAATATCGTTTTTTTAATATTCTTCATTTAGTTAATAATATAAATAAAGATATAAATATCATAATGGGGAAAACCGTTCCCTGACAAAAAATCCATCACCCGACAGGTTCGGTTATGGGGAAAACCGGTTTGGGGATTCTACGGGTTCAGGTTCGGGGAAAATAAACGGGTTCGGGTATGGGGATGGCACATCCGAACCCAATCCGCCCCGTTGCCATCCCTAGTTGTGACGGGCAAACATTTTGAGTCAAAATGTTTAGAGACGTGGGACAAAAGCAAGGGTTTCATACAACCATTGCAACATCTAACCATTTGTGATTCTCTAATTGGACAAGGAGTTTGCAGATTGAAAATCATTAATTTCTGCACGGATCATTCTCATTCGGTTGGGTGTTATAGGAGAATCTTGATTGCAGTGACGAAAATAGAGCATTCTATGTGGAATGCAGCTTCAAGCAGTTAGTGTATTTTTCTTCATGACTACATTTTTTTAACAAAGTGGAATATCTTCACTTGAAAAAACAAAACGAGTTGACTAAGGCCCTGTTTGAAATGAACAGTTTCTAGAAGAGCTAGTGACACGCCCCGACCCCGATATTCCTCGAATACCAGGACAGGCACGTGCTGGCCGACACCCGAGGGTGACGAAAGCCATTTATTGAGTACAAATACTGAAAACAAAGGATAAATAAGGCTTATAAATATAAAAGAATAATGAATATGCAAATAAGGATCGTGTTCAGAGCACACCACTAATCTAGAACACTAAAAGAATATAATATAAAATTGAATGAAACAAAGGAGTCGGTCCTACACCGAGAGGACTCGAAGATGCCGATGCGGAAGTGCCTGGACGTCGGGATTGTATGCCTCTATTCTAAGTCCTGAAGGGGGCGCAAAACAAACATGAATGGACCAAGTTGATATATATATATATATATATATATATATAATAAAACAGTTATCAACATACTAACCCCCAGGTTTTATGAAAACACATATATAATTATAAACATAGGTTTTCCGAAACCTAGCATGTCGTGCAATATATCAAATCATAATTAGCATAAATAATAAACACTAGTGAATTTCCGATAACTCTTCAGGCCCCCTGCCGGCTCCCCGTCTCTGAGCAGACCGTCAGAGGAAAATACACTTCAGGCCCCATGCCGGCTCCCCGTCTCTGAGCAGACAGTCAGAGGAAAACACACTCCAGGCCCTATGCCAACACCAAACCATTGCCCGGGAAGAACCGGATCTATCCCTACGTCCCGTAGCGGAAAGGACCACTAGGTAAGTACAAAACCAGTGAACATACATATATTGAAAATCAACTTCATAGTATAAAGTCATGCATCATTTATACTATAAAGAGGTGTTCTAAACATGTTCTAAATATCATATCATCATCCATCATATATTCTATAAGAACATGGGTTATAGGAAAAATAGTAATAATTCAAACTAGCCTCAGTAAGCATGTTATCTCGTAAAACGTTCCATAAAACATAATCATCGAATCATGCTTTTCATGTATGCATTTATACTATCAAAACATGCATTTTTAGAAGGGGTCCACTCACAGTACTTCGCCGTCGAAAAGCCACGCCATCTAGCGAAGAAGGAAACGCCACAAATAATCGCCCCTAAACACAAAGGGTACACTTAGTCAAACTCTACTCAAATGATTGAATTTGGGGAAACGGACATTAGAAACGGGTTCAGAACGTCGAAATTAGCCTAGGAGGGGTCCCGCACGAGAACCCAAAAAGTCAACGGTCAAAGTCAACGTTGACCGTTGACCAGTTAAAGTCAAAGTCAACGCTGACCGTTGACCTGGTCAACGGCCAGACCGGGTCTGGGTCTAGGTCAACAGGTCAAACAGGTCTGGGTTTGGATCCAGATTGGGTTAAAAGGTTTGGACTTGGGTTGGATCCGGGTTTGGGCCTAAGGGTTTGGGTCTAATAGGTTTAAGGTTGACGAGCCGAAGGCCCTAAAGGAAACGGCCCAAAGGCCTTTAAATTAACAAAACAAAAATAAAAACAATAAAAATGTTGGGTTGGGCTGCCCAGGGTTTTGGGCTTGGCAGGAAAGGCCCAAAGGCCTTGGGTTTGGTGGTTCGCCGGACTCCAAGGAGGGAGAAGGCCGGATTTCGGCCGAAGAATTCTCAAGCTCCGTTGGAGCTCAAAACTCAACCAAAACATGTCATTCAATATACCAAATTGAAGCCCCGAAGGTAAGGAATCGAAATATACCCTTGGTTCCCGTCATCGTGGCCGGAGTTGGCTGGAAAACAGCCTGGAAGCCACGGGTGTCCGCCGGAAACTGGGTAAGATTCAAATGAGCATAACTTCTTCAATACTCAATGAAATTGGGTGAAACAAAAAGGAAAGTTGTAGTAATCAGCGAGACGAAGGGATTGATACCTGCATGCCGGCCAACTGGTCGTGGTTTGGCCGGAAATTGACTCGAAATGGGCGGTGCTCGCCGGAAAATTGGGAAATGTCTCCGAGGTGGTTTCTTCATGGTTTGACGTCCAAAACACAACCACGGGGGTTAGAAAAGAGCTATAGGTGTGGGCATGGGTGTGTGTGTGTGTGTGTTTTTGTCGGAGAAAAAGAGCACCGAGAGGGGGGATGGAGAAAGCACGGGTAGAGAAGAGAGAGTGAGGGAGAAGAGAGAGACTTTTCAGAAAAAAAACAATAAAAGAAAAGGGAAAGGGAAAGGAACCGGGGAACAAAACAGGGGGTGGGCCCCTTGGTCTCACCAATTAAGACTCAAAAACAATTTTAAAAAGGAAAGTATCCTCCAAACTTAGTGAAAATACAAAAATACCCATTTTCTTTTGTAAATCCCGGGACGAGTTGTTACAGCTAGAAATGTTTCTAATAATTAGAAGTGCTATTGACTATGTTTTGTAGAAAAACTAGAAAGCGATTTTGAGTTCTAGAGGCATTTTGACACCTGTCACATGGTTCTTCAAGGAATATTTTCAAACGCTTTTGTAGGAAGCACATGATTATTCTTTAATGGAAGTTTGGAGTATTTATAATAAAAATCGTTTTCAAAATAATTTAAACAATAAAGGTTTTACGAGGGGTTTGTTCCTCTTCCAGTATCCAAAATATTAGTGATGAGTCGATATTATACTATATATTTTATCCTGATCTTAGTATTAGTTTATTGATTATTTTATGAGAATTTTGATACTTTGACTTATATTTCTAACATTCGACTTCCACTTGAGCAAAAAGTGATCAAACGGATGAATTTTGGAGTAATTCCAATTGGAGGATGCTCGTGTGTCTCTCAACTTGCTCGTATCAAAGTTTCAAAATTTTCTAGCGTGCAGTGCTGTCAAAGTGACATTTTGGGCTTCTTTGGGCTTTTTGGCGTCCGAGATGATGTCTTTTGGGTTTGAGGGCCTTTTGCAATTATGTTCGGAACATCTCAAATTTTAATTTGAGTCATTTGGGGCCTATTTTGGAGCCCTAAAGATAAAAAAAAAACGTGGCTATTTTGTGGTTGTGCATATTTTGGGCGAATTTTACTAGTCAATTTAGGATT